ATCTCTACAGGTACCTGTGTTGTCTGCATGTGTAGAGACAATGCTATTTATTGGGGAGGATCTAAACCCCCCAGATTTTGTTTTTTTTAATAATCTTTCAGATTGTTCTGCATCCTTCCAAACTGGCAGAGACTGACCAAGAGAGAAATCTTGGAGTCGTAGGAGATGAATCAAATCAGCCAGTATAAGAATTTCTCTATATAAATCAATGGTGTGACCTCATTTCGAGTACTGTTATAGTTCTGGTCACCACACCTCTAAAAGGATATTATAGCATTGGAAAAAGTGCAGAAAAGGGTCGCTAGAATGATAAAAGGGTTGGAACACAATCCCTATGAAGAAAGGTTAAAGTGCTTGGGGCTCTTTAGCTTGGTGACATGATCGAGGTTTATAAGATTATGCATGGGATAAAGCAGGTACACAAAGAAGTACTTTTCTCCCTTTCTCACATTACAAGAACTCATGAGCACTCAATGAAATTGCTGAGCAGTATGGTAAGAACAGATAAAAGGAAGTACTTCTTCACCCAAAGAGCGATTAACACATGGAATTCACTGCCAAAGGAGCTGGTGGTAGCTACAAGCATGGACGGCTTCAAGAGGGAATTAGATAAGCATATGGAGCAGAAATCCAGCAGTGGCTATTAGCCACAAGGTATAGATAGGGACTCTTGGTCTGGGGCAAGTGATGCACTGTATTCTTGGTGCTTGGGGGGGGGCAACAGTGGAAGGGCTTCTAGTGTCCTGGCCCCACGGCTGGACCTCCTGATGGCACCTGGTATTTTTGGCCACTGTGCGACAGAGTGTTGGACTGGATGAGCCATTGGCCTTATCCAACATTGGCTTCTCTTATGTTCTTATGTTCTTTATCCAAAGTTTGCAAACTCTCTGTTTTGGGTAAGTGTGTTCCCAATCCATAGATTTAGATAGCCACAGATGGAGGATACATGTGAGAAATAAAGATATTGATTATGCATAAAAGTGCTGTATTTATGGTGTATGTCAGATAATAAGTATATATACATTTCTGCAATCACTTTCTGCTCCAGTAAGGGCAATCTATTCTTGTATGAAATCCCACAGTTAGTAAATGGTTTTGTTCTGTTCTGTTCTGTTATGTTATGCATGGGACAGGTGCTTTCTTTACATTGTTGTAATTTACATGAAGATATTTGCTTCAATATCCCTTCTTCTTAGGTCAAATCTGCATTTGCATTTTAAAATCAGTTTTGTGCTGCTGTGATGCCGTCTTTCTCTATGTTTGTTTGAATGTTGTTTGGAGAAGATTCTTTTAAAGCAGTGGGGAGGCTCAATGACAGTGGAGCTGCCACGAGAAGGCAATAAACATATGTGGATGTGCAAAAGTATGCTAGCACTGTTGAGGTGTGAAATCGAAACCAAGTGTAGACAGCTTTTTTTGAAGACGGAGTCAGAAGGCTGGGACACTGGTGGGAAAGACAAATTCAGATTCAACCTTAGAATCGGAAGAATGCCCTTGCCATTTGCCTTAATGTTGTGCTTCAGCCTGTATTCAGTTCATTCTTTGTTTGTTTGCCTCCCTCTGACTGTTTATCTGGTCTGGATATAATGCGTACAGTGATATGTGCCATAATTCCACCAACTGTTCACTTTACAACCTTTACTTGTTATTTAGTTGAACAAAACTAAATTGTTGTTTAGTTTTCACTTTGCATATCTTGAACATCATCATGTTACATATTAACCTGCTGTTCATTCTCTGGCTATAAGGTGGAACCTTACCTGCCATTCCAATGCATTTGAAAAAGTGTGCATGCACATGAAAGCTCATACCTTGAATAAACCTTTGTTGGTCTTAATAGTGCCACTGCATTATAAATTTGTTCTAGTGCTTCAGACCAACACAGCTGACCAACAGGATGCAATTCCACCAATTGTTAATCCCGTCATCTACAGCATGAGAAACAAAGAGATCAAGAGTACTGTTTGATTGGAAACATTAAAAAATCTCCAGCCAAGCTATTCTCTGTGAAAAGATCTTGTTGGACACATGATGCTGCCTTATGGGAGGCTTGTAGATATTGTACAATGAGCATCCTTCATGTACATATGTACAAATAGTTGTAAGAAAGTGTCAATGGGCTCTCACTTCACAAGCACAACTGGGGTTGGTACCTGAATAAATGTGGAGTCCCTGTTCAGCTGTCCCTATGTTGTGAGAGGGGTTGGTGTGATGTGGTATGTTTGCTGTAACTTGTGACCTGGTTTGCTTAGTCAAATCATTGCTCTATCAATATTGTCTACTCAGAGATCTTTTACATCATCCCCTACTTGATCCTTTTATCTGGCAATAGTGGCATTTGAACCTGGGATATTCTGTGATGCAAAGGAGATGCACCATCATGGAACCACTTTTAGTCAACAGTCTGCAGTCTCTGTGGCACAGTTCTATCTGACCAGTCCACACACCTGTTGAGGCACTCTCAGAATTCGGCATCATCCCTTGAACTCATATGCTGAATACAGGGGAAGGGTGTGGTTCAGCATCTCTCTCTGCACAGACTGAATGTATTGGGAAAGAAATGCAAGGTATGGTGAGAATACCAATGCAAGCTTGGGGCCAATGTAGGCCGTCTAACTACTGGCAAAACTCTTGGAAGTCTTTCAGAAGATCTTTAAAAAATTAAAATTTTAATAAACCTAAACCTAACCCTAAACTGTTGCGGGATCTTTCTTTAGGTTGTGTGGTAGCAAAAAAGAAAATTCTAATGCAAAAATAGTCATAGATTTGGCTAAGATGCATTTGGTCTTACATCCAGCTCTCACAAACAGGCATGCTGTGCTAAGTATCTTCTTGGGTTAGTTATAAAAATAGAAGAAATAATACAGCAGCAGAGGAGAATTCACCATCCCTTGGCAGTTAAGTAAGCTGAACTCTTGGGAGCAGGTTGCCAAGAACAGAATGATAAATTCAGCAGTGTCTGTCACACAGCCTTTTCTGTCTCTGTCACACAGCCTTGTTATTATTATTTGACAGGGGGTTTTTTTGCCATGAAATCACGGCTGATTTATGGGGACTGTGTAGGGTTTTCAATGCAAGAGAAGTGCAGAGGTGATTTGCCATTACCTGCTTCCATGTCACCATCCTAGTATTCCTCAGAGGTTTCTCATCCAAATATTAGCCAGAGCTGATGCTGCTGAGCTTCCACGATCTAATGAGATCAGGCTAGCCTGGGCTATCCAGGGCTGAGAGGAATTCGTATTTATTATATATACAGTATATTTTATATATGCAGTGTATATTGTAGCAAGCCTCTAACGAATAGCATGGGCAAAGGGATGCTTGAACTTTAATAGCTGAAGAAGAAATTGATTCTAACTTTCTCTGATTTGTCTTGGATTATAATTAATGTTATTTCTCTATAGAGTCACATCCATATGAAGAATGAAGACCTAACACCTGAGAACAGAACTTCGTCAAAAATGGAGGCAGGGACCCTGATGAAAAGGGCTGGAGAACAAATGGGAAGGGCATTCACACTTTTATTCAGAATAAAATGGGCAGCACGCAAGGGAAGTGGAGAAACAGAACATACTCAAAACTTAATATCTGAATAGCAGAGTATTCTTGAAAAAAGGGAATATAAAATATGCTTTCCCCATTCTAATCAAATGTGTGTGGGGTTACATTGTCTGAGTTTCTTTGAGAGATGGCCCTTGGGGAAGACAGAATCCACTCTTGGCTCCCAACGGGGCCTGAATCTGCATCGCTGGGCAAAAGAGCCCTAAGGACCATTAGAAATGGAATTTAGAGTTGGGAAAAAGATCCAATTTGGGGTAGAGCTACTAGGGAGCCTGCTGTGTGAAGAATCAGACTGAGTTCAAATTCAACAAAAGGACAAAGGACGAGGGTAGCTGGTGGTGACATGATTAAAGTCCTGCTTCTCTGGGCAACTCAGGATACCCACTTCCATTGTTGTGAAACTGATCAGTTGAAATCTCTAAGAGCATGCATTTATACATATCAACCAGGAAGTTTTAAAGTCATTCCCAGCCATGCAAGACAGGCCCTTGACAAGAGTGCTCCAAGGCTTTCCAGGCTGTGTTTTGTACATTATTTCCTTGTACACGATGGCTAATTTAACTCTTTACAGGTGGGTGACCATGTTGGTTTGAAGCAACAGAACAAAATTCAAGTCTAGTGGCAACTTTAAGACTAAAAATTTTATTCACAGTACCAGCTTTCCTTACATGCAGACTTCTTCAGGGATCTTAAGAAGTGTGCATGCATACAAAAGCTTATACCTTCAATAAAATATTGTTGGTCTTAAAGGTGTCACTGGACTCAAATTTTGCTCCATTAACTCCTTACAGATAGAGAATGTACTCCAAAATGACAGACCCCAGTGAGCAGTGTCCCTTGTCTGGGGTTACAGGACTCCATGAATGGGGGCCTCCCAAGTAGCTCACCCCTATGGGGGCAGTGTTGTCTATGCAACAACAGTTATTACTTGTGCAGCTAAAGTGTGGATAAGAGATCAGGAAACTGTCCACTGAACCTTCCTCAATTATTATTCTGTAATTTACAAAATCGATCTGTACAGAAATTCAATACATTTAAAGCCTCTCTAAGACACTCAGTATAGTTTCAGATCAGGCATCCAGAGTCTGTGTGGGTGAAAGGTATAGAAGCTTAGGTCTGGGGAAACAAAAGTGAGGGGGTTGGGACAGCCAGCGAGATGCTGATCTTCCATCCAATTTGCCTATGTGCAAACGGTCCCATTTGTCTCTGATTCAAAACAGGGCTATCTACTGGACTGAGATGGTCAAGCAAGGAATCCTGAGTAACCATTCACTGAGCTAAGTAGATTCACAGTACAGCCAGAAGAACACTTCCCTGAGAGAAAGCCCCATTGTATAGACCAGAGTAGGATTCAGAGGAGACCTGCTAACAATTGTTTTTTTAAAATATTTCCTCTACTCAGCCCCACAGGTAATCTGCAATTGCATACTGAGAGCAAAATGCCTAATCTTACCTCCACGTCTGAATTCTTGCTCCTGGAATTCTCAGATATCCGAGAACTACAGATTATACATTTCTTTGTCCTCTTAGCAGTATACTTGGTAGCAGTCACTGGCAATCTTCTCATCATCACAGTTGTAGCGCTTGATCATCACCTGCATGTGCCCATGTACTTCTTCCTCATGAACTTGGCCATTCTGGATCTTGGCTCAATTTCTGTCATATTACCTAAAGCGATGGCCAATTTCCTCATGAATAGCAGATCAATTTCTTATGCAGGTTGTGTGGCTCAGGTATTTTTCTACTTCTTACTGGCAGGGTCAAATTTTGCCATCCTAACAGTAATGGCACATGATAGGCATATTGCGATTTGCCATCCATTACAATATGAGACAATCATGCATGAAGCAGCCTGCATTCAGATGGCAGCCAGTGCATGGGTTGCCGGTATCCTTTATGCCACCTTACACACTGGTGGCACTTTTACCATCACCTTCTGCTCTAAAATAATCAATCAGTTCTTCTGTGAAGTGCCACATATTGTAAAGCTTTCCTGCTCACACTTATATCTTACTGAAACTGGAATTCTTCTCTTTAGTGGTGGCTTATATGGAGGATGTTTTATCTACATCATTATAACTTACATAAAGATCTTTGCAACGGTTCTCAGGATGCCTTCTGTGAACAGTCGCAAAAAAGCCCTCTCCACTTGCCTTCCCCACATCACTGTGGTGTCTCTGGTTCTTTTCACTGGAATGTTTGCCTATGTGAGGCCTCCCAGTAATACTTCTTCTGAGATGAATGTAATTTGTGCTGTTATGTATGCTATATTACCTCCATTGCTGAACCCTTTCATCTATAGCATAAGAAACAAAGACATCAAGACTGCATTGCAAAAGCTCACTGATTTTGGACATTTTCCTCAAACCAGCTCCAGCAACATCCTTCTAGCAAAACTGGGCTGAACTGTCTTATCTTGTTTATTGTGTTTATTGATTTTGTACCCTGGGCTATGCATGATATAATATACAGGAAGTAACTGTTTGGATGTTGTGAATTACAAGCAAAAGGTGGTGGGAAAGGTAGAGGTTTTTCACATTCCCTTTTTATCAGTACGTAGCTGTGTGGACTGCAAATGTAATGCTTGAGGGGGGGCGGTTGGAGGTTCCACAAGGAACAAAACCCATTTCAAACCGATAACTGCAACAAGGATGAGAAAGACATCAATACGAGCCCCCTGCCAATGATACCATGAGGTCTTCTAGCATCAGAGGAAGGCATCTTGCACGTCATCTCCAACCCAAGAATTCTGTCTGTGTACCCCCCCATTCCAAGGAAGCCGCTTTATAGTGAATCAGACCATGGGTCCATGAAGATCTGCCTTGTCTTAATGGACTCCTAGTGGCTCCTCAGGGTGACAAGCAGAGATCTTTTGCATCACCTACCATCTAATCCTTTTAGCTTGAGATGCCTGGGATTGAACCTGGGTCCTTCTGTATGCCATGCAGATGTTCCAGTGCTGAGCCAGACCCCCTCTGCTTGCCACAGCTTCACTCCTAATGGGCTGAGATCACTATCTTACCATTCTAAATCATGTGTCTCTATTCCCTTAGTTCTCACACTTTTGAGTTTCGCTAGACCCGCCCAAAATACGGTGGGTGACTTGTGAAAATCACAATGTCTTGTGCAATTTCTTTGGAAACATGCTTAGGGAGTTAAGATTCCACTTCTAGCATGGAAAGTTGAATGCAGACTTGAATGTATGTAACTTTTATTATCTGTCATGAGATTAATTTTTTTTTTCCTGTTTGTTATTTCTCTGGCATTAATATCTGTAATTGAGTAAGCATAAAAAAGAAGAGGAATACATACATACGGTATATAAATTGTTTCATTGTTCTCTTTGCTGCTGTGTTATGCCAATAAAGGTCTTTGTATGTATGTATGCTGCGGTGGCTCAAGTGGTTAAGACGCTGAACTGCAGGCTGTGGAAGGTCAGTAGTTCAGCGGTTCAAGACCCAGGTACCGCAAGACAGGGTGAGCTCCTGTCTCTAGTTCCAGCTCCTGCCAACCTAGCAGTTCGAAAGCAAGAAATTGCAAGTAGATAAATAGGTACCACTTCGGTGGGAAGGTAACAGCGTTCCGTGCGCCTTGGTGTTTAGTCATGCCGGCCACATGACCACGGAAACGTCTTCGGACAGCGCTGGCTCTTCGGCTTTGAAACGGAGATGAGCACCGCAACCCTAGAGTCGGACTCGACTGGCTTTCGAGCAAGGGAACCTTTACCTTTACCTTTATGTATGTATGTATATAAATCCTTTCTTCTGGGAAGCATGGCATTTCAGATGCTTTAATATATTGGAAAGACAATATGCTCTGCATTAAACATGTTTGAAAGAACGTATCCCTGACTATGTGTTCCTTACCCCGAATGGATGGCCAATTGGGTGCCATGTAAAAATTCCTAGGACCCTTACATGGAATGCGAAAACCAAACTTAAAACCTCGCAACAGAAATAAACCATCTTCCCGCATAGGATATAAACATAGCCACTTCTCAAGCACTTTCATTTTTATGGGACTGGGTGGGGCCCTTTTCCACCAGCTGGTCCAGGTCCACCTTGGTCTGGACTCCTACGACCCCGGCGGGCTTTACCCAGGAAGCATGCTGAAAAAGGGTGGGGGCCGCAACAGAGGGGGCATTTATGCCGATATTGGCATGCCTTCCTGTTGCAAATCCCCTGTGCCCCAAACTCCCAATAAATCTGGCGGGGTTGAACCGCATGCCCCACCGAATTGCGGGGGCTGGGTCCTGAGGACAGGTGCTGCACCAAATGACCACTGTGCGACTAGTCACCTGTATTGGGGCATGCTGGGGACATATGCTGAAGCCACAGGTGTGAGTGTACCTGATCCCAGCGCATTTCTCGGTTCATAGCCCCCCGCATCCTGAATTCATCATCATATTGAAGCCAGGCAGGGCCAGTAAAGCCCATATAGGCCTTATAGATGATGTCAAAATATTGGAAAAGGGATGCCGCCCTTCAAGGGTGCGCCTTCGCTAGAACCCCCACATATACTACAAAGCCAGCCACCCAATTAGCCCAGGTCCTATCCACTTTCATCCTCCTGAGCTTCTCCTTGTCCTTATCCTCAAGGTAATCTTTGTCCTTCTTTTCCAATTCCCGAAAAAGAAGGGAAAATACATCCACATAATCCCCTCTGCATATTTCTCCCTGGTTGCTGGCAACAAGTGATTGCCCAAGGGCAAACCCACTTCCCCATGAGAAAGCGCTGAAACTGGTGTGGCAGCATAAGATGCCCCACAGAGTGTTGGGGAGCCACCACACTGACAAATACAAAAGGGGGGCTGTTTGAACCCGCACTGATAATGACAACAATACTGCATTGTGCATACATATATTCATAAATGTTCTACAATCCTATAAAATATAAAAATACATTCTTAATCAAGCATAACAATTATTTCATGTCGTTACAGATGATGTGATGATGGACGAAACTCTCCGGAATATCTTCTGTTTTGCATGACGTCTTGTTACGTCAATCAACAATAAGTTGTCTTCATCAATTCATAGACACTCCATAAGGATTCGATGATTTTCACAGAAGGGAAACATTCCTTCGCCTCACCCTTCACAGTAAATCACGGGCTGAACAACAGGATTGTAGAATATTTATGAATATACGTATGCACAATGCAGTATTGTTGTCTTTATTAGTTCTTGATACTGCAACCCCTGTATCATTATCTATGAACCCACACTGAGCCCCATGCCCAGCCATCTGACCAGGTGATGAGGCTCAATGCTGACCCCTGCCGTGGGCACAAGGAGAGCCAGCCACACCCGTAGCTGGAGTAGCTGGGGCCCCACAAGGCCCCCAAGGCCAAGCTACCCTACACCCGGGAGGACCCCTCGGACTTACCCACTGTATCCACCTCAGGCACCATAGCTGGCCCCTGTTCTGCCGCTCCATGGGATTGCCCCAAGCCAGATGGGCCCGCACCAGCCTCATCCTGCCGACCGGCTCCTCCACTGCTGGTACCTGCACCTGTAGAAATCCTGCCCTCCACCAGAGAGAGTGGAGACAAGACTTCAGCCTGAAAACACTTAGCAGACAATGCCCAGGTTTCTTTCCTCCCAGCCTGTCCTGGAACAGGTGGGGTGTGGGGAACCACTGCCAACAACCTTGCCATAATGGCCTGCTGCACCTCATCACCACCCTCATCCTCCGAAGCAGATAAGGCTGGTGCAGGGCTCTTTTGCACAGGCTTAGGTGCAGGCTGCTTTCCCTTGGCATGCCCAGTGTCCTTCTTCAGAGCCATGCCCCTAGCCCAGAGCAAAGGTCCCAAGCAGGCAGTCAAGCTCAATGATATGACCCAAAGCCCCTGTTGAATCTGAGGAAGGACTTCAACAAAATGGCCACCTGGATCATCAATGGCCCCCAAGTGCCACAAAACAGCCACCAACCACAAAATGGCCACCTAGGGCTCACTAGCTGCTGCGTGCTCAAATTGTCCTCCCACAACAAAATGGCTGCCACATGCCAAATTCCCCCACCGAGCCTCAGAACCTCCACGTGCTAGGAGTAACTAGCACTTAAAAAAATCAGCAGTAACCTCCAAATGGGGGGGGGGGGGAAAACTTGCCACCCCATTGCTCACACCAGCAGATTCCAAAAGTAGTGTGTGGACCACAAGGGGGGTGAAGCTGTGCAGGGGAGGGTCTCTACTCAGCCAAAAAGGGGACCGAAGGCTGCCCAATAGGCCTCAGCTGCACTCGCCCACTCCCCCACTGCTAGCTCCCAGGCACGAAAATAGGGACCCACCAACCGCCAGGCAGCCAATACACCACCCACGGCCCGAACCCATGGTACCACACGAAAACTCAGGTGTGACTCCACACGCCAGCTGTCGCCGCATCCGCCAATCAGGAGCTGATTTGCATGCCCTCCACACCGCACTCCTAGCTCCGCTGAACTTGCCGCCCCCTCTGCTCTCACGCTGGGTCTGCTCCTCCGCAGGCTGGTCCGGAGAACTCCGCTGAGAGCTCCTGCCAGCCGAGCGTCCGGGCGCGAACTGAAGGAGGGAAGCGGGGGCCAGCCTCAGCAGCTCCGCCCCCTGTTCAGTCCCGGATGTGGCGGTTGCTGCGTCCCTCTGCCTTCTCTCCTGCAGGGCAGCAAAAGTGGCCTCCGGGCAGCACAGCCACAGGGGCCGGCAGCCCAGAAATCAAAATTTAGTCTTTGTCTGTTTAAGGCCTCCCTCTGACTGTTTATCTAGTCTATATATAATGTGTACAGTGATACGTGCCATAATTCCACCAACTGTTGACTTTACAACCTTAACTTGTTATTTAGTTGAACAGAACTAAATTGTTGTTTAGTTTTCACTTTGCATATCCTGAATATCATCATGTTACATGTTAAGAACATAAGAACATAAGAG